AATCTCAGGAAACAAACTGAGGGTTGCTGGAATGGTGGGGGGTGGGAGGGATGGGGTGGCTGGGTGATAGACACTGGGGAGGGTATGTGCTATGGTGAGTGCTGTGAATTGTGTAAGACTGTTGAATCACAGACCTGTACCTCTGAAACAAATCATACATTATATGTTAAAAAAAAAAAATAGTAGGAAGGGAAAAAAGAAGGTGGGGAATCGGAGGGGGAAACGAACTATGAGAGACTATGGACTCTGAGAAATGGGGAGGGGGTGGGGGGATGGGTTAGCCTGGTGATGGGTATTAAAGAGGGCACGTATTGTATGGAACACTGGGTGTTATATGCAAACAATCATGGACCACTACATCAAAAACTAATGATGTAATGTATGGTGATTAACCTAACATAATAGAATAAAATTAAAAAAAAAATACAGAGGACTGAAAAAAAAATTCTTTAAATGCTGAATGTCATCTAGTCTGTCTAGGGGCCCAGGGCAGCCAGATTGGGGTGGGAGAGATGTGGGTAAATTTGTCTTAAGGTGAGAAGTTAGCTAGTGGTAACTTTCTAACGTGTCATTAGCCTTGACTAAGCTTTTATGACTTTTACACAGACCCTGTTCTCTAGGAAGTTAAGCCTTTAAGCCATTGAAATCTGTGCTTGCTGATCCAGATAGGATAGGAAAAAAATCTTCAGTGTGCACGTCTTAGACGCATCATTTCTCTTAGAACTTCTCTGTGCCCTTGTCATGCAGTAGAGAGCTGCTTAGTGTCTGTGAATTGGCAGCACATAGTCACCCCTCCCTCATTGTAGGTCAGCTGTCAGGAGGATATGTGGCTGCTTGGCCTGAGACGAGGATGCCTCCAGATACGTTCTAGATCAGGGCTGAAGATGCACGAGCCCACTGAGGCTCCCAGATCTCTCCCGGGTCGGCAGCAATGATAGGTCATTTTGAGACATTCTGTTTTACCAGGGCTTCAACACATTGTCGAGATGTGGGCTGTCTTTGAAGTCTGTTGTCTGCCTTCCTCCATCACAAACACATACTGAAATGCTGGCTCAGCCTGGTGGCTCCAAAATGGGTCTTTTAAAATTCAGGCCACAGCTCATATTGAGCAAATTGAAGGACAGTTGGACAGTCAAATAGTTAAAGTAGTAGAATTTGTTCCTGTGACTTGTCAAGGGCTGTGTATGTGACAGCCTTACCATATATATATATATATATATTTTAATTCATTATATGGAATATTTCCTTTTTTTTTAATGGTTGTCACCAGGGTCACTTTCCATATCCAGATCCTTCCCAGTGGACGGATGAAGAACTAGGTATCCTTCCTGATGATGAAGACTGAAAGTGTAGAATAAACTCTTTGCAAGCAGGTATGCCCCAAATGCCTTTTTAAAGTTTATCTTGTGTCGATTAAAATGTTTGACTTTATGATGGTCTTGAAGGTGGTACATTTTCTTTTTTTTTTTAAAGATTTTATTTATTTATTTGAGAGAGAATGAGATAGAGAGAGAGCATGAGAGGGGGGAGGGTCAGAGGGAGAAGCGGACTCCCTGCTGAGCAAGGAGCCCGATGCGGGACTCGATCCCGGGACTCCAGGATCATGACCTGAGCCGAAGGCAGTCGCTTAACCAACTGAGCCACCCAGGCGCCCAAAGGTGGTACATTTTCTAAAAGCATGGATGACAATTAACTATATCATGTCTAATTTTGCCTTTAGTATTTTTGTATTTGCTGTCTTCCTCCCACCCCCTTCTTTTGGTCTCATCTTCCTTTTCACTATTTCTTTTAAAAAATTTTCTTTTCCTGAATTGTGTTACAATTTAGGGTCCCGTTTAGCCATCTGTTGATCAAAGACTTTTTAAAAAAAATTTATTCCTTTTCTAAAAATTTTATTTATTTGAGAGAGAGAGATCACAAGTAGGGGGGAGGGACAGACGGAGCTCCAGGCTCCCTGCTGAGCAGGGAGCCGAATGCGGGACTTGATCCCAGGACCCTGAGATCGTGACCTGAGCTGAAGGCAGGCACTTAACCGACTGAGCCACCCAGGTGCCCTCCACCCTGAGTGTCTAAATGGAAAGTTCCAGCATATGGGAATGTTAGGATATGGAATTGTGTGGAAATTAACCCTAAACACTAAAAGGTTATGGCCCTTTCATTTTTCCAAATTAGGAATCAGTTTTTCTTCTTTCAAAAGGAAGGTACTAGGAGTAGGTACTAGAAAAGGGAGTCTCTTTTCCCACAAACCCCTCGGAGTCAAGACATTTTTTTTTTTTTAGATTTTATTTATTTGAGACAGAGAGAATGAGAGAGAGCGAGCATATGAGAGGGGG